GCTGGCCACCACGCCCAGTCTCCCTGGGATTGAACTCCCGCCGCTTCATCTGCCTCAACAGGCACTTTAATATTCTGAGCTATTTGGCCAGCCCTGCCCATTTTTATTTAGGCTTTTGGTCTTTTATTACTGAGTTTCTGTATTTTTGTTTTTAGTTGTAAATATTCTTTTAACTTTATCTGTAAAGCTTAATGGGACTTATTTAAAATTTTTAATTAGACCTGAGTGCCTCCTCCCAAAACAGTCTGGCTCTGGATACTGTGGTTTGAAACCCCCATCCTCAAGCCAAACCAGACCTGCCCTGAAGGCACCCTGAGTGGCCCAAAATAAATAAATAAATAAAAATAAAATAAAATTTTTAATTAGTTCCCAAAGCTGTATTGGAGCACTAGTGTTTTATGATTAACTTGAATGTTGCTTATACTTGTTTGAAAGCCAAACTAAGTATGGTTAAAGGACATAATTTTAATTGATTGTAGAGCAATGATTTGATACTACATTGAAAAGGCTAGCCTCTAGAGATTCTTTCATTTTTGCATGTATTGTTCTTATTCTGTATCCCAAGGCATAAATTTGGCATTCAATAAAAGAAATGCTCCTGGAAACGTTGTCGTAGCATGTTTACTTTAGTGGAATGAGTTGACAGTTTCTTTACTTCCATTACTTTTATTCAATCCTCAGTTCCACCAAAAAAATAAATAAATAAATAAAAAATAAATAAAGAGTAAAGAATTGGACATTGGCCCTTGGATACAGCCAACAAAACTCTTAGTCAGAGTAAGATTCTGGGTTTGTTTGTTAGTAATTCTCTGCCTTCTACTTTAAAAAAAAACCCACGTTAGGGCTGGGCATGGATGAGGTAGGGGGCACACCTGTAATACCAGCACTCAGGAGGCTGAGGCAGGAAGATTGCTTTAAGTTGAAGGACAGCCTGAACTACATATCGAGACCACTGTCTCAAAACTGCGGACCCATCACCTTGTGCTCTTGTGAGCACAGAGTATGTGCATATGTTCGTACTCTTGAACAGTTTTGATGTGGAGCCAGTAAAGGGAGTGACTCTTTAAAATCTTGGAATTGTCTGACAAAATTTAGCC